AGCCAAGCAATCAGTATCCATGCAATATGGTGTGGCTGCCTGACACCCTGAACTCTGTAGCTCAGAGCTACACATAGGAAGCTGTAACAGAGATGCTTGCAGCATGGCTCAGGCTGGGATTTCAAAATCAGGTTGGACTGAAATGCAAGCAGTTGGAAGGGGTGGCTGTTCCCACACCATGCCTTATGCCGCAGAGGGTCCTCCTCGCCCTCCTCGCAATGCCTTGGGAATACAGGTGCAAGGGGCACCTTGCAAGGTGCTTTGCCCTGTAAGAGAGTGGGGCGTGCTTTGGGCATGGCTGGGTGCTGCTGGAGAGGCATACACATGCCTGCGAAGGCAGCAGCAACTTCATCACAGCCAAGATGAGAGCAAGAACAGCATCAGAGGTGAGGAAGCTGAGCAACTGTGCAAGCAAGCACCCTTTAAACAGCCCACCCTTCCTTGGGACTCACATGCCCTGGGCTGCTCCTCAAGGAAAAGGAATTAACCAGGCACAACCAGGCATTAACCAGGCACTGTGCTCAGCTCAGCTGTGGGATTTCAGGCTCCCAAAAAAGGTTGGGAGAGCACATTGCTTCATGATGAAATTGGGTGATACAGCTGCAAATTGCCTTGGCCAGCCCCAGTGGGCAGGCAAGTAGCCCTTCAAGGTACCAGCGCTGGAGGCTGTGTGTGTTTTCAAGATGGATTTGGAGGCAATGTCAGTAGAACCTCCCCCACCCCGTGATGCTTGTGCAGCTCTTTAGGAAGGTGTGAAATGAACTGGATCAAGGAACTGAGGTGAGTTTAAAGTATTTGTCTTTTGGTGAACTTATTTTGAAGCCAGCTGAGTTCTGCTCTCTGGTTTGTCACACAGCCAGATTGGCAGATACTGGCAGAGGGGAAAAGGGAGGCAGAGCTACTTACGTAGGCATTGCTTGTGAAAGAAACACCCATGAAGCCATCCTCCAAAAGCCAGGGCAGCGCTGTGTAAGCAGTGGCACAGCACACAAAATTAGTGATTCCCTTTGCCTGAGTTTTGGGGGGTGAAAGGCAAGAAACAGACACATTTTTCATTCCCTTTGCCTGCAAAGCAGTCTCTCATCCACAGAGCACAGAGCTCCTGCAAGATAAGAGCCCGTGAGGAAGCCAAGATCTACCCCTTGTTTGTACTGCTGTTTACACTTGCCTTTTAACAAGCTCGAGCAGGTTCTTGCTTCCAGCTGCAGTTGGCCCTTTTCAAAGTTCACGCTCTCATTTTGCATTATCATCCCAATGCCAAGCGCTCCCTAAGAGAGGAGAGGGACAACCGGGACTTCTTCTCTTCTGAGAAGCAGCAGCAATTTAAGCAGTCCTTAATCCAGCAGTGCTTTCTCGGCTCTGCTGGTATCATGGGGAACGGCTGCAGGGAAAGCGATCCCTCTGAAAAAAACACTTGGCAAAAGAATGTTTTCTTCCAGCAGATTAACACTGGATGGCTGTGAGCACCCTCAGCACAGTGCTGGTGGCCCGGCCCCTGAGCAGGGCATCTACCACTCAGTTTGGGATGGGGTCTCTGTTCTGCATCTTTTCCCCATATTGTCATCCTTGCCATTTCATATAATTTTCACTGCTGTGCTTGCAATCAGATCTTTTCACTAGTCCACATTAGGGTCCTGCTGGCAAAACAGCCATAGTGGTGGAGCTTTGTAATGGTTGCAAGATACTGGCCCAAAAAGAACAAGCACTGTAAGATCTCACCTGTGTTGAGAATCGTGGTCCTGTGGTTGCTTTGGTGCTGGTACAAGCCAGCATCCTTCCCAAGCTCAGCCTGGCTACCTCTCAGCTGTTTGGGTCTAGGGCTGCCTATATGGATGTCCCAGGCTGGGCACCTTTGGAAAGCTCACCCATAAGTACCTTACATACACAGGATCCATGACAGCTAAAAGCTTATCTAGCCTCTTCCCCCGATACCACTAGAGGCAGATGGTCAAGAGACGTGGAAGAAGCAGTCCTACTCCGTCACAGCAGCTTGAGGGTAAAGGACTTCCCAAGGTTATAGTTGCATGCTTGTGTTCAACAGCCTAAGGCAGAGCTCTGCATGAGTTTATCATTTTTTAACCCTCTCATACATGCTCCCCAAAACATATTTCAGACATGGCTGCAGCCTTACAAGGTCAAACTGTTAAAACCAACCCGCTGACTTGGTGACTCTGCAGCAGATTAACCAACGTGCAAAGACAACAGTTTGCTCTCTAACCATTCACAAATGGCTTCAAGGCGTGTCCCCCCAAAACCCTCAATAAAAAGAAAGCTCCATCACCCTCAGAGATCTCGGCACCATGCAGGGCTCCCACCCCCGGCACCTGTTTTATTGTGGGTTCCCCAGACATCATGGCTTTATATTCTGATCTTCCTCCTTCCGCCAAGTGCTTCAGTGCTGGTGGCTCAGCTGGTTGGATCCAGCTGGTCTGTGGCAGCATCTGCCTGGAAATTGCTTGTCTTAGCCTGAGGTCCTTTATTTCATTCCCTGTCAGCTGCAGCAGAGATCTCGCCGCACACTGTGGAGCTCTGCTCTAAATGAATCCTTGCTCTTTCTTGGGGTTTTGCTGTTAATTTTCTGTCTGTCCATGAGTTTACAGCAAGGTCCAAATCACACTGGGTTTATTATCCTCCTGGGGAAAAGGCCAGTGGTTATCTGCTGGACAGGGACAACACTGGGACCACAGGTCAAACAGGGACTGTAGATAGACCGGGAAAAGCAGGTAGACCTTTTGTGGGATAAACAAGATATTACAAATGTCCCACCCACTGTACATAACCTGGGACTAGAGGGAGTCTGTGGGGTCAGGGAGAGAGTTCAGGAGGAAATTCAGGTGGGAACATGGGCAAGATTTGGCTTTTTTTTTTTGTTTTTTTGAGCAACGTGAGAGGAAAGGAAGCAGGCAAATTAAGTCCTGGCCAGTCTGTCCTGACCCGAGTGAGCATGGCATATCATTGATTCAGTATCTGTTCCCTTCTCAGGGCTATGCATCCTGTTTTCGGGTGTTTTGCTTTACTGGCAGAGATGACCAGGTTGGACGGGGCTTGGAACAACCTGCTCTAGTGGAAGGTGTCCCTGCCTATGGCAGGGGGCTGGAACTGGGTGAGCTTTAAGGTCCCTTCCAACCCGAACCATTCTGTGGTTCTCTGTGCCTCTCATTTGCTGAGTGATGAGCCTGATGCCAGGGGCACTCCAGGTACCGGCTCTGCAGATCAACCCATTCTCTTAGCCTAATTCACAGGGATGTTTAATACAGGAGTTATTGTGAACCATCACGTCCAACCATCTCATTTCAGCTCACAGCAAAACCATCCGAGTTTCAAGGCTGCTAGCGGCAGCCACCAGACACTACACAAAATAGAGGCGATTGTCCACAAGAGGGAGAGTCGGCGCCAGTCTCGACCGTGATTTTGTGCGAAAGGCACTTCGTTGCCTGGCGAGTGTAGCAGAGCCGTTCCCGTTGCTTCACTTCCTCCTCTAGGAATGTTTCTTCCTCCTGGAGATTCCCCTTTCCACACAGTTTTCCCTCCTCCTCTTTCTGCAGATGTCCACCATTTAATCTTTGTGTGGGGTATGCCGAAAAGCCACACCAGACAGGCACTGGATGCTGTGCCATGGGAATGGGACTGTGATTAAGATGGTGTCTCTGGTCATGTTTGGAGCTCTGAGTGAATTAGTCAGAGAACCAGGTGAAGCACCAGCTCTTCAAACCAGTGACCTTCCTCCAGGCCATCCCACCCCAGAGAGATGTCCAGCTTCAGCTCATTTCCACAAGCCTGGACAGGCTGGGGCCACCACAAGCTGCTCTGGCAGCAACTGATCTCTTCCATACATCCTTCCAGTTGTCCTCACATCTACACAGGAAGGAGGCATGGACCAGCTGTCAACCCTGTGCTGTAGAGGGGATCATCTGCCAGCTGCAGGTCCACATACCTTTCCCTTGCCACGGTCCATACACCCTGCACTACGCAGCCTTTCCCAGGGTGAGCCCTCCACCATGAACAGTCAGGGCTCTGTGCCAGCCTCTGCCGATCTTGCTCTTCCCTTTCCTTCCCTGCCTGCTTTTCCCTCATCAGGGTTTTGGTGAGACCTTCTCCACTCGGCAGCCTCTGTGGCTGAAGGTGCTCTGTCGTGCTGCACCAGCAGCATTTTCCCTGTGGGATCATCCCAGTAGCTCCACAAACAGCATCCCTAAGCCACCAGGTCCAAAAGGTTTCAAGATACATTGTGATGATGTTGGCCAGTGATTTAGCAGAAGCTGTAATGAAGCTCGTAGCATTCCTGGGGGAATTTGCTAACCTGAGAGCTTAGAGAAATGTATCCGAAGGAGATCCATACAAACCGCATCACCAGGATGACCACAAAGACCCCAGGCATTGCTCCCGTCACCTTGGCCACCCTCTGGCCACCGCTGGCCTCCAGCTTGTGCCGAGCTGGCTGTGGTGTGGTGGCAGCAGCAGCCAGCGATGTTTCTGCAAGCACGGAGGAGAAAATCAGCTCTCCCAGGGAAACAAAGCAGGGGAGCTGCTGGCTCCCTTTGGAGAGAGGGATTTCCAGCCTGAGAACAAAGCTATGGATGCTTCCCCCAAAGCACATTGTGCATGCTGGTATTAATGTTTCAGGCACTGCATACAGGACCGCCCCAGAAACAAGCACTGACATGCAAGCATATGAGCTCCTAGGTCTGAGCACTGGCCAAACAGCAGTGCCAGCTGGGGGCATTGGGCAAGCAGGGCAAGGAGAGCTCTACTGTGTCCAAAGAGAGATGATTTATCAGTGTGCCCGCAGAACCTGGCTTGCAGGACAGCCACGCCATTGTGAGAGATGCTGCACATGATAGGGGATGCAAATCTACAGAGAACATTGAGGGAGGAGAGAGGTGCCAGCTTTATTGTAAGCCAAAGCTTTAATTGCTCTGCTCCAAATTACAGCTGTGGGACTGGGAGAGCTCATGCACCCAGAAAGCCTTTTAGAGCAGCTTATCACCATCCAGCGGGTGCAGAAAAGCACAGCGTGAGGAACCAGCACCTAATCCCAGCTCCTGCAGTCACTCAGAGCGCTTTGTTCAGCATTACCTGCTCCTTTAGGGTAACCTGAGAGGATACAAGAAGACAACAGTGTAAGCAGCAGCTTAGCAAATATGACTAACTACTGTAGGTAGCGTGTTTTAACTTGGCTTTAGGCATGCTGACAGGAAATAACATAATCAAAAGCCATCAGACATGAGAAGGTGAAGAAGGAAGAGAAGGGCCACCCCCTTGGCAGGGCTGAGACAGCAAGGTTATTTACAAAACAGCTGGTAGACATATGTCTTATTTATACAGGATAAGAAAACTAAAACCATCTGCTGTTAGTGCAAAGTTCTCTTTGTGTTATGAGCAGGATCATTTAATAATATGCAGTTACTTCATACAGATTAAGACAGAAGTAATTAAAGGAAAGGTTGTGCTCTGAGGCAGAGTTCCCCCGGCACTCAATTCTAGTCCTTGGGGAAGCTCTCACTTGTAGGCACCCCCAAAATCAAATCCCCAGACTTCAGAGCATTTTCCCCAGCAGCTTAGCTGTTGTGTCCTTTGAAGTAACATTTTAGGTTTAAATTCAGATCTTTATCCTCCTTTCTTACCTTTAGCTTCTTGCTAGTTTATTATCCATGCAGCCATGAATTTCAGAACGCCTTGCCTCGTTAACATGCAGACCCCCCTTTGATGTGTCTCTGTTACACCACACTCTGGCCATTCAAGGCCAGGCTGGATGTGATTCTGGGCAACTGCTGTAGATGAAGATGTCCCTGCTCATTGCAGGGGGTTGGATTGCATGAACTTTGAAGGTTTGGGTTTCCAAGCCAAACCGTTCTGTGACTCTATGTGCATTGCTGAGAGCCCAGGTTTATGGGGCAGGTTCCCATGCTCCTGCCAGGGATCAGGGATCAGGGCTTGCTCCCTGCCCTGATGAAGAACCTGAAGGTCAGAGTTAGGAGGATATTAAGGGTTAGAAGAAGACCTGCCTTGGTACCAAAGCTGGGAACAAGGTCTCCTGGGAAATGTTTTCACCTGAAAGCAAAATAAACCCATGTAGATCCCTGGTACAAAGCACTGCCAGGATGCCAGGAGGCTTTTGGCTTGCCAGGAACCTAGAAGAAATAATTTGAGCCTGAGTGAGGTTGACATCAAGATTTTCTCTCTTTCCTCTCCCCTCTATGAGCTCACTGGTGAACCAGAAGCGATGGTTTTGGCCATCTGGAGAGTGAAATCACAACAGCAGCAAATGCTTTTCAGGTGCCTCAGTGAAGTATGAAACTTGCTCCTTCCTTTCTGTCTCTGCTCATGTGTGCGTGCATTTTGAGCCTCCTTTCACCTCCGCAAGAACCTGACTTCAGTCCTCTTGCAGCAGGAAAACATTAAACCATGTCTGCCCCAGCTCTCCATAATTTTTCTTACCTGCACAGCACACACTGGCCATGCCGTGGACCAGGGCACTGTGGCACAGAGGTGCCTCCAGCACTGCCTCAGCACACAGGTGCTGCTTTGTACCCACACGGGGGGACCTAGACAGCATCCTTGGGACAGGGCATTGACGGCTTCAAGGGGACAAGGGGAGGGAAAAAAGAAACCAATAAACTCAAGCGATGAAGAGCACAAGTGCTCACCATCCACTGACCAATACCCAGTCTGGCCTGAGCAGCAACTGGTCCCTTCTGGGTGACTCCCCCCAGTTTATATTCTGGGCATGATGTGCTGTGGTATGGAATACCCCTTTGGCTGGTTTGAGTTGGGTGTCCTGTCCTGTCTCTGCTTCCTCCTGGCTTCCCCTCCTCTCTGACAGAGCATGAGACTGAAAAGTCCTTGGTCAGGGTAAGCATTACTTAGCAACAACTAAAACATCAGTGTGTTATCAGCATTGTTCTCAGACTGAAGCCAAAACACAGCACTGCACCAGCTACTAGGAGGGAGAAAAATGACTGCTACTGCTGAACCCAGGGCAGGAACCAATGCAGCAGCTTTCTATAGTGATGAACCCAAGGGAACAAAGCAGCAGAGGGATATTTTGTGAAGGCCAAGCACACCCCCCCATCTTTGCAGATGTGTTTTGCTCTGTAGCCGCACATTCCCGTCCCGCTGAGGCAGCCTAACCCTGACTTCTTGCTCCTGCTTTTTATAAAGCTACCGACATTTGAAACAAAGCAATCTAATTAAAGAATAACTATTTAGCTTGAGACAGGCAGGCAGGTATTCAGGCCCATTTTCTGACATGATGCATGATCCGACGGGAGCAGCGCTGCGGGCGTTGTGTGCTGTTCAAACCCAATTTAAAAATACACGGCGTGGCAGCAAAAATAGACGTGACCCTCGGCACAGCCATCACCACACGCATAAACAGCTCCTGTAAAATGCCACCGGTGATTTGCGTGGCAGCAGTGGAACAGCAGCACCCACCTTCCTAAGTGCTGCTGTGATAAGCCCATGTGAACACCATTGCAGCACGTTCCCATGGCAGGGCTTCCACAGCTGCCTCAGCTTTGGAACCCCAAATTGGGGCCCAGCCTTTCCTGAAACCTTAAGGGAAATTCCTGTCCCCTTATGCATGTGACCTGACATCCAGCTCTTGGCACGCTGAGGGATACCTGAAATGACTCTGCTACCTTTGCCACATCTGAATTACTGTGACATCTAAGTGACAGGTGAGAGACAGCAGTGTGGGGAAAATAACCTTTACACCCTTAAACACTGAGGAGCTCACATCCAAGCATTCACACCCCAGAGATGCTGAGGAGCATCTGCAGGGATGCAGGATGCAGAGATGCAGGAGCAGCAGCACCAGCTCCAAGCCCACATGCATGCCTGGCGATTGACCCAGTCCGAGAGCTGTGGGTCAAACCCTGGTGCTCCCGAAGCAGCCCTCAGTTGCAGCAGAAGGGGATTCAGGCACAACCCCAGCTTTGGTGAGAGGGGTTGGGAAACACAAGCTATAGGGCCACACGTCACCCGTGAATGAGAAAACCATCTCTGAGTGGCCTGAGCCTGTGCTGGGTCCCTACAGGAGCAAAGGGGTATGGCCTCACACATGTGTGGCCCCATGTGAAAGCACAGCTACCTGCAAGACCTAATGCAGTCTAGAGGTAAAAGAGATATGAGAGACCCTTTCAGGCCCACCTTGGTACCCATACATGGGAAACCAGCAGGGCACTTATGGGGTTAGATACAGAAGGAAAACCCTAAAGGAAGTAGCTCTGGGATGGGAAACCACAAGGGAACAAATCACATAATACCGCTGAGTTGGTGTACCCACATCCAGGGAAGGCATTAACCAAGCAACGCAGTGTCTCCTCACCACCATCGTGATGTCTAATGGCCCACACATTTTGGTATCAGAAAAGTGTAAATTGCAGCGATGGCAACTTCAAGCAGGCAGTACCAGACCCAGGTACATCATGGCCCTGACTATTCCAATGGGTAAGACACAGCTCCAGGTGTTCAGGGTGCTGCTGAAGCCACATCCAGGCAACCCACATGCAGAACAAGTCAAGAGGGGATGCTCTGTGTCCCGAGAGGCAGCCTAGACCTGGCTTTATTTGCTCTGGGTCCTCATTTTAGTTCTATCTGCATGAGCAGATTATAAAGTACAACTGAAAATATGCCTTTCTGGTTTTGCTGCCTTGGATCATCCTGTCTGCTCCAGCCCTGCCGTTCCCGTGGGTCATTATTTGGGCACATTCATGGCGTGTGGTTTCTCTGACATAGACAGTGAAATGGCAGTGTCTAAAAGCATTTCTATTTCCCCCAAAGCCTGGAGTCAAATTGAAGGCAGAAACATTTCTGGGCATGAAGCTTGGCTCTGGGCATGTTAGGGCTTTGTCCTGCAGGGAATGCCTGGCTGCCAAAGGGCAGAAGTGAAGGGTTTGGAGAAGATAACTCCTGCTTTGCAGCAGTCCCTGAGCAGTGCAGCAGAGCTCAGCACCTGGGACCTGATCGTTTGCAAGGCAGAAGAGATTCACCCATTGCTGGTTTTCTCCTCCTGGCAACTCTCGCTGTGTTTTGGGCACAGATGTTCAGAATCAGTGCTGGTAACTGATCTAGAAACACGTGGCCCCAGGAGACCCAGAAAGCTGCGGTAGCAGGGAGGGAATGGAGTGGATGCACTTCGTGAGAAACATCTCCAGGGTTTGCCTCAGGGCCTGGCTGTTTTCCAAGCCATGCTTTCTGCACACCTAGGCTTGCTGGGATCTCAGCCTTGGCAGTGCCCATAGGATGCTCCTCTGTGCCTCTGGGGCCTCTCAGCTGTGAGGATCCAACACCAGAGCATCAAGTACCTCGCATCTTCCCAAGGAGACCCAAGTGTAAACCCACCATGCATCTGCCCAGCTCAAGCTGTTGCCTCACAGGAACAACCTCGCTCTTGGCTCTGCACCATGGCCACACCAGACGTGCCCCCAGTGCCATCAGCCGCTGGAGGCAGAGGGGTGCTCAGCCAAGGTGTTTCTCACAGCACCACATCATTTTTGTCAAGGTGTTTCATTTCTAACAGAGAAGCTTGAGGAAAAGCAGCTGCTGAAGACTCGCAAAGCAGGATGAGAGCACACCATGGGCGAGGCTCCAGAGCACTCATTTCATTTCCTTCAAGTGGGTTTATTACCCACCCAGTAGGGAAGGGGGTTGGTTGCCTTTTCCCAGCATGAGAAGCCAGGGGAGGCTGGGAGGCTGCTCACCCCCAGCCACAACTCATGCACTCCACATGCTGTTTCTTCCCCCTAACGGGAAACACTTACAATCATAGGATCATAGAATCATTAGGGTTGGAAAGGACCTTACGATCATCCAGTTCCAACCCCCCTGCCATGGGCAGGGACACCTCACACTAAACCATGTCACCCAAGGCTTTGTCCAACCTGGCCTTGAACACTGCCAGGGATGGAGCATTCACAACTTCCCTGGGCAACCCATTCCAGTGCCTCACCACCCTCACAGTAAAGAATTTCCTCCTTATATCCAATCTAAACTTCCCCTGTTTAAGTTTTAACCCGTTACCCCTTGTCCTGTCACTACAGTCCCTAATGAAGAGTCCCTCTCCAGCATCCCTATAGCCCCCTTCAGATACTGGAAGGCTGCTATGAGGTCTCCACGCAGCCTTCTCTTCTCCAGGCTGAACAGCCCCAACTTTCTCAGCCTGTCTTCATACAGGAGGCACTTAAACACGTGGCCAAGGAAACTTGGTGAACACAGCTCCTTGCACACCACACAGTGATTCATCACCACCAAGAGAAAGCCCCTTGGTTCCCTGCCAGAGGACCAGGTCATGGCCTGCAAGTCACAGTGGGTTTTCTGAGATACCTCCCTGCTGTGGCTCCGAGCACCCCAGGCCATCGCTGGGGGCCTTGGATGGTCCCCGCTCCCACAAGTGGGGTTTAGCAAGAAGACACTGGCTGATGGTGAGGAAATGCTTCACCAAAGCCCACAGCTCACTGGTGATGATGGGGACTGTTGACTCGCCAGCATCCATGCTGCTCAGCAGAAAGACCCCTGGTACTTACGCTGGTGTGGACAGGTCCTGACAGCGTGTTGCACGTAGTATTCACCATCACTGGCAAGCCTGTGGGAATGGCAAGCTTCACCAACCCTGTGGTTAGCCCAGGTATTTGCTCCTGTCAAGTCAAAGCTATTTGAGAGCCCAGGGCTGAATTGCTGTTTTGCACAGCCACTCAGTGACCTGAATTGCAGAGCTGGGCTCTGCCTGGCCTCTCTCACACACACAACAGCCCTCAGCCACAGCAGGACCTAGATCTCAACCAGGGATGAGTTGACTGCAGCATTAACTGTCATCTCCTGCCTTCAGGGCTGAGTCTCATCCAGTTTGACCCCTAGCAGTGTGTTAGACTCGTCTCTCTGGAACTTGGCTCAGTTGCACTCATGCCACAGCATTAGTTGCAAGCAAGGGTGGGTCAGGTCCATTTCTACACCATGAGCCCCATTGCTGGTCTGTGGAGGAGAAATCAGTGCATTAGGCCCAGGTCACAGCCCTGCAGCAACTCATTCCTTACCATCCAAGGCAAGCTCAGCAGCCACTGGCTTTTCCCCGCCTCTGAACATTTGGTTTTGCCTCCCCAACTTTCCATTCAGCCCACCAGGATGCAGGTATGAAACCTCCTACCACCACTGCACAGGATTGTGCCTGTTTTCCCTTTTCCTTTTCCTTTCTCTATAGCCAAGTGCCACATGGGAGCAGGCAGCAAACCCCTGGTGCCTGCCCGTGATCACACTGGGGTGAGACAAAAGCCCTCCCAAGCCTCCCATGCTCAGGCCACCAGCATCTGCATCCACTCTTCACTGGGAAGAGACCTGCCTCCATCCTCAGTGGAAGCATGGGGACAGCCAGTAGCATCTCACCAGAGTGAGTCACACAGGGCCAAAAGCAGGAGCTCTTTCAAGGGAGCAGCATCTCTTGGAGCAGAGGCAGCAGAACCAGGGTGCTCAGACCAAAGAAGTAAAGCCCCAGTGTTCTAAAGGCAAAGGGAGGTTTCCCACCCTCTCGGTGGTGAGGACGGGGGACATCCTCTCAAGAACAGGAGAGGGCTGCAGTGCTCTGAGGCTGCAGATGAGTGCAGAGGCTGCTGCAATAGAAGCATAAACCCGCCGGACCCGCTGTTGCTGCAGAGCTCTATGAAATGGGTGATTTCTGAGCAGAGTTTGGCTGGAGAGCGCCGGTGCTATGAAAACCAAAGAAGTGACTTTGGGCTTGGGCGCTTCCTCCTGGCACGCAAAAAGGTGATTTGTGATTCAGAGGATGAGGAACTTATCATCAGAAGGAGCTGGGACAGAGCTCGGTGTTTACACATGGAAGAACAAGGCAGGCACCAGGAGCAGATATATTTATACCCATCCATTAATAAAAGAAGCCGAGTCAACCATACCTTTGTGCTAAAGTTAGAGCAGAGCACTCAACACGGCCTTAAAAAGGCAAGAAAGTTTCCACAAAGTGGGACAGCTGCTCCCGGTGTTGGCTCTGCGCATCCTGAGCCCGGCACTGGGAACAGGAGCCAAACGTGGAGAGGCTTCTCCATGCAAGAAGGCTGACTGCAGGGGTCTGGTCGTGGGGTGATGGTCACTGCACATCAGGAGACCTGCAGAAGACAATGACCTCTTCCCATAAGCAGAAATCCTCTGGCTTTGACTCCAGTGCTCTTTGCTTCCCCAGCCATGGGGCTCAGACAAGCCTTCACCTCCACATGGGAGAAGCCATGAGGGCAGGCTGGCCACATGGATGAGGACTTGGTTGGTGAGGCTGTGTCCATCAGCCAGCAGAGGGAAGGGGAGCAGCACCCAAGGGTTGCAGGTCTGGATTAGGGAAGGGTCTGTGCGAGCCCAGGGGGAACAGAGAGCACCCAGGACAGTCAATAGCTTATTGATATAATGGTTATATTGCTGGCTTATATTGATATAACCTCCAGCCGAGGTTATATCAATAGGGCTGCCCAGCATGGATCACTGGAAGCTCCTGGATCAGGACTTGACATTTAGAAAGGCTTCAGAAATAACTAACTGCAGCAAGTCCCTTAACACACAGATAAGGCTGGAGCTGGGTGGCCTCAACTCCCAAGCACCAGGGAGTGTTACAACACTGACTGGTAGGAAAGGCCTAGGAAAGTTGGATCTTTGTTCCTTGCTTCTAGAAAGCGATCTGTTGTGCTTCTTCTTGCCAATAAACACGAGCTCCCATAGTCATTTCCCTGTCTGCCATCCCTCTTCCCCCCCACTCCAGCCCCTGAATCATACCGGAAGCTCTTTGCTGAACTGGTCCCAGTTCATGTGGAGCCGCAGGAGCCAGCACTGGATGTGCTGTGACAGAAATGACCACGCTGCAGGCAAACTGAGAACAACCACAAACTATAGATCGTGTTTAAATCAACGTTAAGTAAGTGCATCGCAGTCTTTGTTCTCCATACCCCAGTGGAAACAGCCACAAGTGACAACCAGTCCCAGGCTGTGCAGGGAAGGAAACGGGACTGAGGGCAAGCACAGGAGGCTATGGGTCACCTCTCACCCTGCAGGATGTGTTGAAGTTGTTGGCATTCCAGCATGGATTTCGCTCCTGAGCTCATGCTGAAAATGCTACAGTTACATGAACTGGACTGACCTTTGAGCAAGACCTATGTCTTGGACCTCCAGGGGTTTCTTCCAACCAACATTATTCCATGACTTTGTGATTTCCTTTATAAAGACATAAAGGAAGCATGCAGGTAGCTCTCCATCCCTCTCCTGTTACCCAGAGGGATGCTCAGGCTGCCATCCCCAAACTCCTGTAGTCAGTAACAGACCAGCAGCAAAGTCTGGAGAACAGGTCAGCTTCCCACTGAGCCAGGGATCAGGGCTTCTTCCTGCACCTCCAGGCTCAAATCTCCTGGGGCAGCTTGTCAGTGCCAGTGTAAGACACAGCCTTAGCAGTCACACTAACCTCACCCTGGAGCTCTTCTGCAAATTCAGGTTGGGTTTATCAACCATTTCAATAAGATCCAAATGCTCTCCAGCAAACACTATCATTTAGTGACCGTGTCCCACCATGCCACTGCCAAACACAGCTGCACAACACAAGGATTCTTGCTCAGCAACCATGTTGGTAGACCTCAGGCTGGCACTGAGCCCTGCGGCCTGGAGCCCATGTCCCTCTTCTGGGCTACTTCCTCATGTGATGGAGGGACTGTCACTTAGTAGATGCTACCTTTGCACACTGGAACAGGCACTGTGGCTTGCGGTGGGCAATGGGCAGCTGTGACTTGTGGGGTTTGCCTTTTATTTATTATAATTACTTATAGTTTACAGAAAGGGAATTCATTACATGAGCAGTGTTAATTTCCTTAGCCAGCTTGTAGTGCATCCAAGGAATCTGTATCTGGTTCCTTTGACCAGCTCTACTTTCGATAAACTCATCGTAAGCAATGCAATGATCATAGACTCATAAAATTATTTGGGTTGGAAGGGACCTTAAAGCTGATCCAGTCCCAACCCCCTGCCGTGGGCAGGGACATCTTCCACTAGATCAGGTTGCTCCAAGCCACATCCAACCTGGCCTTGAACACTGCCAGGGATGGGGCAGCCACAGCTTCTCTGGCCAACCTGTGCCAGTGCCTCACCACCCTCACAGGGAAGAATTTCTTCCTAATGTCTAATCTAAATCTACCCCCTTTTAGCTTAAAGCCATTGACTGAAATACCATATTGCAACATTCTGAATGACTTACGAGCGAATCCCAGGATCAGCCATTTTATAGCTTTGCCTTGAAATGAAGGTAGGCAGGAAGACCTGGAGCACCTTTGATTTCCTCTGGAAGCATGCCTCTGCACCACCTTTCTCCCAGTGAAGCAGAGCTTTGTTTCAAAGCCTCTCCCTGTCTCCTGGATGCAGAATCCCCATACCAGCTCTTCCACAACAATTATTCAGCCCTGATTTCCAGGCATCTAATTTTAGCAGTCACTGTTGAACATCCTCTCGAGTTATTGTTAGAATGAAATGAGGATCTGACAGGAACACATTGCAGCTCCTCAGTAAATACTGGGAAGGAATGCTTAAGGAGCTCAGGTGCCTTCCTGCACCCTTACCAACAACCCCACTACGTAGGGACCCATCTTATCCCACCCCTTTTGGTCCAGGTACCTTGCATTTCCAAAAGAGCAAAATCCTGTGCCCACCTCAACTGTACTGGGCATATTTCGCTCCATCATTTTGCTCAGTTACCAGTTTCTATAATTACTTGTAAATTTGCCACAGGGATTTATTATTTATCATTTTTAGGATCATTTCAGCTGAAAGGGCATCTGATTATATGCATATATATTTGCATGAGCTCTTTTTCTGGAGGATCTCTTAAGTAGTTCACAGAATATGAATGAATTTCTGCTTGTCTGCAGCACTACTCCTTTTACAGGCAGGACAACAGGGGCTGTCATTAGGAGACATGTCCAAATTCCCAGAGGAAATTTATGCCGAGCACAGGAACACCGGCTTCCAGTGGTGTGTGTTAACTATTAAACCTGCTCTAACACAGACAGCGGGAGGTTGGCAACACAGGCATTAAAGAAAATGCTGATACTGTGATTTGAAGTCGTCGTCTCTCCTTCCACACCAACAGGTTCAAACACAGATTAGGCTTGGAAAGAGAAAAAAAACCCAGGCTCCTTATCAGATAGCAAACAAATGGCCCTTTTCTGCTAGTAAGCAGCTATGGGAAAGAACAGCAAGGAAAGGTGCTGGTGTATGAACAGACAGGGCTGGGATTTTGCCCTTCACAGAATCATGGAAGAGTTTGGGTTGGAAGGGACCTTCAACGGGCATCGAGTCAAACCCTCTGCAATGAGCAACTTCAAGGAGATCAGACTGCTCAGCACCACATCCAGCCTTGAGTATCTCCAGGGATGGCGCATCCACCAACTCTCTGGGCAACCTGCTCCAAGGCTTTGCCCTTTATCACTGTTAAGAAGATGCTATCATTCTCACTCTTCACACCAGCCTCCCTTCTTTGTGTTTTACCTGCTAGGGATGTAAACCAGCAAAGTTCATCCAGATGCACTGAAAAACAGACAACACATGGGAGCCAGCAGACTGGTGTTTCTCTCTTTTATTTAAAAACAGTGCTTCATTACCATTTGCAAAGGGTTAGGAAGGGTTTCCCCCCTTGCTTAGAGTTTATAAAAGCCAGCAACATGATCAATAATTTATACACATGGATAGTAATACAAAAAAAAGGAATAAAAGCTAAAGATCTAACTACTCCAACCTTCACAATTCCAGCTACTTGATAATAATAGGAATAACCCAATGAATACTGTATGGTCTGAAAGCTACTATACAATATGATACTTAACGAGGGAGGGCGGGAAGTTAGAGGCTGTCACAAAGCCCTGGGATGCAGATACTGCTTCTCCAGAGTCAGCAGGGAAATGGGACCCTGGGCAAGCGGCTCGGGCATCCTAGGAAATGATCCAGGGGAAGGGAACACATCCCACTCGGGACACATCCCGTTCCCCGGCGGTACCTGGCAATGGGAGGTGCTGGGGAGACCGCGTGAAGGGGCAAGTCCGTCGTTGCCATTGGAGGTGCTGCGGCATCTCAGCCTCGCACTGAACGTCTCCAAGTCTCAAGTAGATCAGCCTGTGAGGTCAGTAAAATGCTCCACCAGCTCCGTAACGCTCTACAGCCCTGGTTCTCATCTGCTATCAGCCCCAGGTTTTAGCTCCAGGTATTTACAAGCGGGATTTATCATATTAAAAAAAAAGAAAAAAAAAGAAGAAAAAAAAAAAGGAAAAAACCCAGACCCAAATCACATCCCCTGGGGTAAGAGAGGATTATCTCGTCACTTGATAACACAGCTGAATCAAGCTGCTGAAACTACAACACGTGCACACACAAAATACTGTGAGCAGGAAAAGAATCAATAGAAAAACATGACCAAAACTGAGATTACTGATGTGGGAGAGGCCCAAATTCTGTAAGGAATTCCCTCCTCAGGGAAGCAACAAACCCCTCCAGCAGCAGAGAGCTGGGAAGCTGGCAGAGATTTACTGACCCACTTGAGAACACACAAGCAAACAAAAAGAAGAGTAAAAAAGCAAATCCATTCCTAAGGTGAACCAGCACTTTGCTGACTGCCAGCCAAGGCAATGTGCGGGTGGACGGCTTCAGACACCAGCAATCTCCTGGTGAAATCAGGCAAGGGGTTTTGGCTGATGTGTTCTTGCTCTACCACGAGTCAAGAGGCAGCGTGGGAAGCCCCAGAGCCTGTTTGCCAAGGGCCCCATTTCACGCTCTGGCTATCAGACTCCTGCTTGCCTTGTTGGCTGGAGTTTTTACTGTAGAAGAGAAGTTTAACCAGGGTTGGAGGGCAGAGAGGGCGATCAATGAGGTGGGGGTGGAGGGAAAGGGCTTTTCAGACATTAACATCACCAAAAATAGTGTTTTATGCAACAAGGAATCAAGTCTCACTGGTGTATACTACAAAATGTTTGACGTTTCCCAAGAGCATGTCAAAATAAAAACACAAAGAAGTTTACGTTGGATGTTCATCTTGTTCACTAGGTTGGGGTTTTTTTATACCACACCCCCCCCCCCCCCCCATATCAAAACAGTGCAAACAGGTAACACACTTGAAAAATCACCCCTCTGCACCAAGGACAGCGTTACCCTGACCCTGCCAGGCTGGAGGGCCACAGCAGCAGGCTGCCTGTGCCTGCTGCTTTCCCTTTGGAGCTAGACTCGGCAAAGGCGCTCCCCAGAGCTGGTGTTTGGGTTTCCCTTTATCGAATTCCTAAGTGCTCCCCAAACCCGTTCTCCACTTGCCTCCTCCTTCAGGGCCGGGATGGGAAGGTACACATAGGGATGGGTGGGAACTGGGAGGCTCAGCTTTGTATTCCCTGCTGCTGTGAAGCCATGGGTGCCGGAACTGAAACCCCAGCAGCCAGCTCTCTTCTGGGGCAAGGAAATCATTTCATTAACCATTTCACAACCAGAACTCGAGCCAGCTATTCAGGTAACCCTCCTCAGCTCTCGCTGCGCCCTTCACATCTGTAAGATCTCAAAATGGGTGAGAACAGGGGATATACTTTCACTTCACTTTAGGGACAGGGAAGTGAGGTCTAGAGTAGCAACATGACTGCTCCATGATGACCCTTGAGGATAACTGACAGAGCCCAGCCCAAAACACAGCTCTTGGCCTCCTGAGCTAGCACTCTTCTTGCTGGGCAAGTCTGCTCTCGGGCACTGAAACAGCCGAGCCACAGCTATTTTGAAACATGGCTTTGTCAATCCGAACTCGTGACACAGCATCCACGTAACTGCTTAACCTGGGAGAAGCTGGCTCTAGCAGGCTCATACTGAGCTCCCCGTTGTCTCCAGGTCCCATCATGGCTTTACTTAGAAAAGCTAACCCACCTACAGCAGTGCAGCCTCCCTAGCACAGGGACAGCAACAACGGTTTGTTAACATGCTGGGTATCAATATAACTTATTCCCAGTAGAGAATATGCGATACCAGCAGAAGTCATCTTTGTACCAGCACAACTGTACCCACAAGGAAAGACAGAACAGCATATTAAATGAATCAACTCTTCAGTCCAAAATTTTATCAGTATAATATCATGTGCTGGCCAGACCTATTGCAAGACAGTACAAACAGCAAGACTTAAAGAAACATCTTTTCCTCTACATCAAGAGGAATCCCAGATGCCACCAGACTAGAAGGTGACACACAGCAAGCTATTTGCCAGGCTGCCTGTGCGGTTTCCCTTGGAAAGCCAAGCCCTGCTCTGCAAGGGACCTGTGGCTGCAGACCCATCTCAGGGCAAGCACCAGCTGCCATCGGCCAAATAAGCCAGGGCCTAGTTTAATTCATTAAGTTTAATTCATTAAGTGTAATTAATTTTGCATAGGGAGATATAGGCTTTGTCCTCACTTCTTTAGAAGATGGATATAGCCACGGCTTGGTTACTCTGAATGCATATCAAACCAGTTCATAACACATCTGAGTGAAACCAGAGCTGTTGTTTGCCAAGAGGGAAGAAAGGCTGAAGAGCTCTCCCACCATGGCCCAACACTCACTCAAAATTCCAGCTGGCATGCAAGTTTCTGGGAGGTCCAGTGCTCTGGAGACCTGGAACCAGTGAGCTCCCTCCAGCCCCCAGCTGTGCAAGCATCCCGGCATCTGCAGCCTACTACTGAGAGCACGAAACTGGGATACCAGCGAGCTGCCTCAGTGGGCATCCTGCAGCATTAACTATGGAGTCAAGGAGACACTGGCTGGCTAATGCACTGGAGAAGCCTGGCAGGGAGCGACCGGAGCAGGCCAGGCTCGGATACAGGAGAAATCAGGCTGGATGGTCTAGAGCAGGTATTTCTCGGAGATCATACAGCAAGGGACCACAGTCCTGAAAAGGCTGGGCGCTTCTGCATTAAACCCATCACTCTCCTAACATACTCAGGAGGGCTGAAGCTGCCATGCATAGACTCTGCTCGGAGGCAGAAATGGGGCTGGCTTCCCTACTCCCAGAGAGGCCAAGGGGTGGGGGGGATTGCAGGCAGCACTGCCAGGGCAGGGGAGGGCACTGGGGCAGTCAGAACCAGCTGAACTGAAAGGTAGGAAAAGGGGCAGAGGGATGAGCAACCACCACTGCCGGGCTCCACAAGCTGCACTCCTCCCGCTCGCAGCCTGCTGCACCAGAACTGCCTGCGGGTGAGGGAAGGGATGGCCTCACACAGCCTCTCTGCTCACAGGTAGGTAGAACAAGTCCAGTAGAGACTTCTGCTGCAGAAGTCCCCTGGCTGCCCTGCGGTGGAAACGGCTCCCCCTGAATATGACTATTTCTCCCACCAGTCCTCACTCCCCCCTACCCCAAACTCAGGCAGTAAAACCCCCGGACACCCTGAGTGCCCCTCATTTCCTAAATTTTGTGAACGCCCCAACACACTGTTCCCCCCTCCCCATTTTCAAGCTAACTAAAATATTTATATACAAACAACAACGAAATTGTCATAACAGCAACAAACCAAACTTTGGCTTGGAAAACAAAAAAGTTTAAAAACCAACAATAAAACCAGAAAGAAAAAAAACAAACCCAAAAGGTGGCCAACAGGCTGGCAGTTTGGTGTCCCCTTTTTATCTAGCTATTCCTCCAGAGAATCAATAGCTTCAGGGTCTCTAGATTAACTAAAGGCTTCCTCATTCTTCCCATTCGAGGTGCCTCCTCTCTGCCACACACAGAGAGGACACGTGCATCGCTGGGGAAAGAGCAAAGAAATTCATGGTTGTGCGTGGCTGGGCCAGGACACCTCCCTGGGAGCTCTGCCTGTTGACATCGCTTAGTGTTAAATGCAGCAGGTTTCCCATGCTGGTATCAGCAGTGGATGGAGCAGCCGGTGTATGACAGGAGTTGGAGAGGCTCCACCAACAAACCCACACTCCAAGCAGTCTTTCTGTGGGCAGTGAGCTCACCCGAGTACCCACTGAGGCAGCCTAATCAAACCATGCTTCTGCACTCCTCTGCCATGAGGTTAAGAGACCCTGCCTCTGAGCATGTGGTTACTGGGGGCACTCTAGGAGCCAGCAGCTGAGTAGGGAGGTCTGGAGAAAAGCACCTCCCCATCACAGCACAGCTCACATGGTCATCCAAGAATGCTGACTTTGAAACACAGTGAAATCACTGTCCATTGAGAGCAGAAGGGAGATGGTCTTGGGAGTCGTGGAGCCTTCTGCTCAATAGTCTCTCT